TCACTGTTCAGAATATAAATTACGTACCTTAGACCCATCGGGGGTGCCTTTCTTTTATAGTTAGCTCAATCCATGTCCCAACAGAAGCTAGCTTCAATGGACTTCTGTTTAGTGCTTATCCAGAACTCTTCTATAGATAAAGATAAACTCCCTAAGAGTTTTATCTTTATCCAGGCTGAGTTCCCTCATTATTCTAGGACTTTTGTGCCTTATCCGCTCATCTCGGATTCCAATATCTTCATAGATTACCTCGACTTTGCGGAGATAACCTCGGCGTCATGACCAGGACACGTGGCATCTCGGCTGACACGTCAGCGTCACCTTAGTCACGTGTTGGTACTCAGAAAATATATCATCACACATAGTAAGAAATATGTGTTATTCCATCAGATAGAGATGGGCATCAAATAATACAAATATTGCATAAAAGATTTGAAAGTTGTATTTTTTTTTCCTAGATAAATAACAAAATTTGATTTTATGTCCCCCTTCCATTGCTAAACACAAATTTATTACAAAATCAAGATAATGTTGCTGAAAAACCAATGTTTGCATGTTCAAAGTAATTTTGACAATTTCAGGTTGAATAAATTAGAGCAAAGATTGGAATATTATGCAAAATTCATTAGGATAATATGGTCAATTTATTTCCAGATATTTCAAATTTCCCTCCAGCTTGTGAGGTCACTTTCAGCAAAATTTGACTTATAGGTATGTTCAAAGTTTTTGCAAGTGTAAAGCTAGAAATGGTACCAAAAGTCCTACTATTTATGATTCAAATATTCCTTGTTTTTTTCTCAACCAAAATTTAAAAAGGAGGACAAACACGCTCCTCTCCCATGTTCTTGTTTCATAGTTCTACCAGTATGTTTCATTGTTTACTACAGTCAAATGTCTAGTTTGGCTGTGGTTAAAAAGTTTTTTAACTGAAATTTTTTTTTGCCTGAAAAAGTCTTAATTCATTTGACAAACTCATTTCTTCAACAAAAGAAAAAAAAAAACACTTATTTTAATTCTTTTAAAAAGTCAAAAAATTAAGAATGTATCAAACAAATAAATTTTTAAACATTAAGTATGCAAGTTATTTTTTTATCCAATCAATTTGCTTTTTAGCTAACTCCAAAAATAAAATTATGTCCTGTTACATTACTTGGATAGTTATAGATCCATAAATAATTCAGGCTTAAAAACTTTGAATCTTTTGTAGACGTATTTTGTTGGCTTAAACACATTATCTTGGCCAACAACCTCTGGAATGTGATTGTAACAATTGTGTAAAATTTATAACACAGACTCATTATTGAATTTATTATAGGGTGATGGACTGGTGTAACTTGAACATAATAGAATATAATAGTCGCTAACATTAAATGTGAAAAATAGCAATATGCCATATCCCATTAATTATGGTTGTGAAAGGCCTTACACGATCCGTGATGGATAATTGCAGACATTGAAAATTGGTGGGTAAAGGTGGTGTCAGAGTACGGGCACTATTACAAAAACAGAGAAAAATTATATTTTTTTTTGTGTGATATATGTTATTTAATTACATTTTTTTAAGTTTTATTAAAGTATGATATTTTTTAGATCAAACTTTTTTAGTCGCCAAAAGCTCATTCGTGAAAAAAAAAAAAAAAATTACACTCACTAACTTCTCATTTACTCTTGTGGAGATTTGAACCATCAACCCCTCTCACACCATAAACCTTATATACCACTCTTTCTACTACGCCTCTATAACACCATATAATTATATATGCAATATATATTATTTATATAGTACATAGACCCATATTAATATAAAAGTATATATATAAAGATAATTATTTTTTATTGAACATAATTTATGTAAAAATAAATTATTTACTAGAAAAAAAAGAGATCACTTTTGGCGATTAAACATAATTTTAGTTGTCAATTCTATACTTTTAACTACTAATTATTTTTTAGTAGTTAAAAAACTTAATTCTCGGGTTAAAATTATCACTTTTGGCGACTAAACTTCTTTCTAGTCGTCAAAAAGTCTCACTTTTGGCTACTAAATATCTTTTAGTCGCCCAATACCTCAGTTTTAGCTATTAATTTTTTTTTAGTCACCAAAAAGCCTCACTTTTGGCTACTAAAATTTTTTTAGTCGGTAAAAGCCTTACTTTCAGCCACCAAATATCTTTTTAGTCGCCCAATGCCTCACTTTTGGCTACTAAATTTTTTTTAGTCGTCAAAAAGCCTTATTTTTGCTACTAAAATTTTTTTAGTCCGTAAAAGTCATATATGGGCAACTAAACAGATTTTTAGTCGCCAAAACTTTTACTTTTGGCTACTAAATTTTTTTAATAGCCAAGAATATTTACTTTTGGCCACTAATGCTTTTTTAATCACCAAAACCTATACTTTCAGCGATCAAAGGTACTTTTTTAATCGCCAAAGATGCTTTTTCTTATAGTGAAGTGTGATTAAGCCTGTGTTTGGCAAGGAGGTTTGCAGGCTTTTTTGGCTATTTTAGCCACAAAAAACAAAATAGGCTATTTTAGCCATAACAAACAAAACATCACATCCAACCCATAATCATTACATTCTTCTCTCACAAAAAACTCAAAAAAGCCAAAAAGTCAAAAAGCCCTTCCCAAACCAAGCTTTTAAGCCCAGGCTAAAATAGCCAAAAAAGCCAAAAAGTCAAAAAGCCAACCCACTTCCCAAACGGAGGCTAAATATATATATATATATATATAATTACACTTATTTAAAAAGTGTGATTAAAAAGTAGTAATGTGTATATAATCACACTTTAATTAGAAGGTGTGATTAAAAAATATATAAATAATCACACTTTAATTAGAATATGTGATTAAAAAATATATATATAATCACACTTATTTAAAAAGTGTGATTAAAAAGTAATAGTGTATATATAATCATACTTTAATTAGAATGTGTGATTAAAAAAAAATATATATAATCACTCTTAATTGAAAAGTGACATAAAAAATGAATATTATCATACTCAATCAAATTAAGCGTGATTAAAATATCATTCTAATTTTTTTTTATCACACTTCCAATAAAAGTGAGATATTTTTTTTTTATCAAAGTGTAATTTTTAACTATTTTTGTAATAGTGGGGATTGGGGGATATAGTTTGACAACAATTGTATGAGATAATTTCAGGGAAGAGAAAATTGTAATGGGGATGGAAGGGAGGAAAAAGAAAGTGAGGTTTGTGGCAAATTAAGAGAAGGGATGAGTGGAGAATATGGGGAAATGATTTTGATGGAGAGTTTTTAGGGTTTGGGTTTGGATTTAGATTTGGATATGAGATTATTTATTAACGTTTGAGTATGGATACTATTTTAGATAATGGTCTCTTTTGGTTATTTGATTTTTAATTACTTTTTTGAGTTTGTAGTAAAAGTTAAAAGTTAATTTTTTTTGTCTTTAAAAATATTTGAGAAGTTGGTTTTCAGCCACTGGTAAAATTACAATTTTACTTTTCATGGGTCAAAATATACTATATGGGTGAAATTGAAAATATTTTAAATTGAATGGGGTAGTTTGATCATGTTATTGTGATTTGACATCAAAAACAAATATTAATAAAAAAAATTAAAAGTAACATTTTACTAATTTTCCAAATCACTTGTCTAAAAAAGTCAAAAGTTTGGTTAAAAGTCAAAAAAATTACTTTTTACCATATTTCTAAAACATCCAAATATCAAAATTTTTCTTTATACACGTTGATTATTACTTAGGGGTTGTTTGAAATGATCTAAATAAATGTACTTTTTGACTTTTTATGAAATATAAATTGAGTTTGGGTTAAGTTTGAAGTGATGTATTAGAGAAATAATGTGACTTAAATAAAGTTTTGTAACTTAAATAAGATAGTGACTTTTTAAATTTTTTTAAACATGACAAACTAGCCTTTAGTCTAAACAAAACATTTGATAAATTTTTGCACGATCCAAACTCATACTTTAGGTGAGTTGGCCTAACCAAATAATGATGGGTACGTTTGGTTTGATTTTGGGAGAGTAGTTTTTGAGATAAAAAGTACGAAAACTTGTTTGGTTTGTCTTTTTTTAGAAATGGTTTTGAAAAATTATTTTGGAGAAAGAGTTTTAAAAAAAGTGATTGATTTGATGTGTATGAGAGAGAGAATAATTTTAGAAAGAAGTAAACCAAACAAAATTTTCAATTTTTTTTAAAAAAAAATTGTTTGATTTGATTACTTTTAAAAATTTATTTGTAGAGAATTTTTTTTAAAATTTTTTTCTAAAATCAAACCAAACAAGCCCGATGTGATGTGTTTGTATTTGGACGTAAGATTTGAAATTTGATTAAGTTAACCCTAGTCTATGAAGAATATGTCTCAATAAATCAATTAATAAATTTGTGAGAATTTTTTTTATTGGATTTAGCTCACAGATAAGCTCAAATTCCATTTTTGCACCTTGACCAAGTTTGTCCTAATGTTAACTCTTAAAGGTTGTTTGGAATGATCTAAATAAATATATTTTGATTTTTTTATAAAATATGTATTGAATTTGGATTGAGTTTGAAGTGATGTGTCAGAGAAGTGATGTGACTTAAATATGATAGTGACTTTTTGACTTTTTTGAAACTTGTCAAACCAGCCCTTAAACTAAATTGGAGAAAAGTCAAATAATTTAATTAGAATAGTAAAGACAGAGAGAAAATTTTAAAATAAAAATATAATATATCTAAAAAAAGCCAAATAATTTAATTAAGGAAAGTGCAAAAAGGGATAAAAAATATAATTTATCCAAATAAATTTAACTATAATAGAATTTTCTTATATTCACATTTATTACCATAAATTATATTTTGATTATTTATCAAATATCTCAGCGGGTTTCTTAAGAAACGTACGCCCCCACACCAACGCCACACCCACCTGAAAATTCAAAATTTCTTAAAGCAACAACAAACAAAATCTCCAATTTATTAGTTTTTATAATTGATTCGACAATATATATTTTTTTAGTATTTTTTCAGAAAACGGAAGTTTTGTTTTCAAAAACAGCCGCAACAGTTTTTTGAAAGCAACTTTTTAATTTGATAATAATTTATGTTTCTGCCATTAATTCTTCCTCTTCCCCCACCCCTCTCTCTCTCTCTCTCTCTCTCTAAACTTTACCTTCTTTCATTCTTCTGCTGTCTTCACCTCGTAACTCGCGCTGACAGTGAGGAAGCAAACCCGTTTCGTTTCTCTTCCTTCCCTTCTGTTTTCGGAAAACATTTTGTCGCAACAGATATTCATCGTTTGCTTTCTACAATTGCTCAGTCTTGACAGCTCATTCATACAAAGTTCCTAGTTTTGTTTCCCAAAATTTCAATTTCATGCAACGTTGAAACTACTTTATAGTCGTCACCACCACCAGCAAAAATTAGGTTTTAATTTGTTCGGAGTCCAATTCATCAGAATTAGGGTTTTGAATTCTCGTTCTTCTGCAATGTCGCCCTCGGCATTGTTCGAAATCGATTCTCAAGTGTTTGAGTAATAAATTTGGTTGATTTGGGGGTTTGAAAATTCTCCTAATACAATGATGATGTCTGTGTCTCCGACGTCTCTAACTCGGAGTTCGCTGGAGGAGATGTTGGAGTCTCTCCGGCGAAAGGACGAGGATGACAAGCCGCGTGACCTGCCACCGGCGTTGCCTGCTCGGCCCACTTCCAGGGCTCGGCTTCCCGCCGCCAGGCGGTCGTTGCCGGCAAACTTCAATGTTGAGACCGCCATGGCTGCTCCGACGAAGTCGTTGAATCAATCTAGCACAAAACGAGAGGTTAAACGACCAAGAGTTGGTAGTTTTGGGGGAAAAAAGGACAAAGAGTTTCCCGGTGAATCGCCGTATGTTATTACAGTGCCGGAAGAGAAGGAATGTGAACAGAGTTGGGAGAAAACAGACACTGCAAATCTTGCAGATGAGCCTTCCGCCTCACCGCCGAGGTTTCGGGAATCGGAGTGGAATGATAACGTTGGTTATTTTATTAAGAAGGTAAAAACTTTGATCAAATTGTGTTCTTTTGTAACATTATCTATTTTCTATTGTCCCAAAGATCTTCATTCAAGCTGCTGCAGCAGAACCCATAGTTGAAATCAAGTTCTTGGGTAGAATATTCTTTCTTTTTTGTTTTTTCAAAGTCCCTTTTTTTTTTTTTTTGATGAGTTTCAATTTCATCTTTGTAATTTGTTGATTTAATTTCATGATAATTGTGGGGACTTAAGTTCCTTGTGGGCATAAATTCCTTAATTTTTTTCATTATGCAATAAAAAGCATTAGAGAAATGCCTTATCTTATTGGTAATATGTGCAAATGGTTTATTGTTGGTTTTATAAGTACCCAATGCTTTATAAACCATTCACAATTTGTGCAAAATGGTTTATAAACAAGGTTGTTAAAATCGGGATCCTAAGTAGGATTGGTGAGAGGGTTTGGTGGATCGGATCGTAGGATCGGGTCGAGGATCGTAATATCCTACTTTCTATTAAAAAAAAAGATAAAAATTAAAATTAAAATTAAAATGATACATATTAAAAATAAGGTGAAAAATTATAAAATCTACGATCCTACTTGCGATCCCACCTACGATCCCATACGATCCTACACGATCCCATGCGATCCTACACGATCCTACTTGCGATCCTGATTTTTTTTTTTTTTTTTTTTTAAAAACCCCTTTTTTTTTTTTTGATGAGTTTCAATTTCATTTTTGTAATTTGTTGATTTAATTTCATGATAATTGTGGGGACTTAAGTTCCTTGTGGGCATAAATTCCTTAAATTTTTTCATTATGCAATAAAAAGCATTAGAGAAATGCCTTATCTTATTGGTAATATGTGCAAATGGTTTATTGTTGGTTTTATAAGTACCCAATGCTTTATAAACCATTCACAATTTGTGCAAAATGGTTTATAAAGCACACTAGTTAGGACTCTTTGATTGTTTGCTATTCTTTGGGACATTGAGACCTCATTACTGTGCAAGAGACTGTGCTCAATGTCTTCACATTTTAATTGTTTCAGGTGTATTACATGTGTGCTTGAGTTTTGATTGGACATATGATAGATGTTCGGGTCACCCGTGTGATAATTTTAATTTGTTCTCCCAGCCCCTTTTCTTTCCATGCAAGTCTTCAATATACTATTCTGCTTGCACAGTGCGCAAGTATTTCTTGAGGATTTCATTTTTGTCATCAATCATTTACTCACAGTAATTTGTTTCAGAAACTTCGTGTTTGGTGTCGGCTCCCAAATAGGCAGTGGGAGTTGGGACAGATACAATCAACTTCAGGGGAGAAATCAACTGTTTTGCTCTTGGATGGAACTGTGAGTTCTCATGTTCTGTTTCCCTTCTTAAAACTTACAACTGTTCAATAGCACTTATATTGTGTTATTACTACAGGCGGTGAAAGTGTCAACAGGGGAGCTCTTACCTGCAAATCCAGATGTCCTTGAGGGTGTGGATGATCTCATACAGCTTAGTTATTTGAACGAGCCATCAGTTCTTCACAACCTTCAGTATAGATATTGTCATGATATTATTTATGTATGTATGCAGGATTGTGATTCTTAATTTCCCTCCCATCAAATTGAGTTTCCCTTTTCCTCTCATTTGACCTATGTTTGTGCTTGTTTCCTGTAGAGTAAAGCAGGACCTGTTTTAATAGCAATCAATCCCTTCAAAGATGTCCATTGTTTTGGAAACGATTTTATCACAGCTTACAGGGAGAAGCTTTTTGACAACCCTCATGTTTTTGCTATAGCAGATACTGCCTATAACGAAATGATGAGAGGTGAGTTAAATAGTACTTGCAGGGATTTTGAAGAAAAAAACAAGGCTCATATTCATCTATTTGTACTTTGCCACTAAAGAATTTGTTTTTCTCACTCTACTTTTATCATGGATCATGCAGATGAAGTGAATCAATCCATCATCATAAGGTTAGTTGAACTGTCTTTTTGTGTGTGTGTGTCCATGAAGTGGAAGCTCTGTATGTTGATGCTTTTTTTATGCTTCCCTTCTGTTCCTTTTGTGGCAGTTTTCCGTAGGCTTAATTTTCTTACACCATGAGATTTAAGTTATACCTAAGAAATCAGTTGTATCTATCTTGTAGTGGGGAAAGTGGAGCTGGGAAAACAGAAACAGCAAAAATTGCAATGCAATACTTGGCTGCTCTTGGTGGTGGCAGCGGTGGGGTAGAAAGCGAAATCCTTCAGACAAGCTGCATTCTGGAAGCATTTGGGAATGCAAAAACATCCAGGAATGACAATTCTAGCCGATTTGTGAGCCTCTCTCTCTCTCTCTCTTTCACCTCCTCCTCTCATCTTCCAAACAGAATGCACTCCTGTTTTTGTTATGCATTTTAGCTTAAAGATTCTTTACGAACACTACTTGAATGAGTTGATCATTGTGCAATACTTAAATGAGTTACTTCAAAAGATATACAGATCAACTCTTCTTGATGTGGTGCAGGGGAAGTTGATTGAGATTCATTTTAGTGCAATGGGGAAAATATGTGGCGCGCAAATCCAGACTTGTAAGCATGTTTACATCAGAAAGTTGCTAAAGACTCATTTTCTTGTGATGCTGTTTCAATTGTGTTTACTAGCTTGATTTATTTTTTGATTGCATATGTGCTGTAAAACATCAACTCCTTCAATAATCATGGATAGTTCTGCTTGAAAAGGTATGTTGATTCCACTGTAAACTTGTATTTATTTATTTATTTATTTATTTTGTTTATATAAAGAACACATGCCTGATAAAAGTATATGATGTTTTCTTTGAGCAGTCAAGAGTGGTCCAGCTCGCTCATGGAGAAAGGTCATACCATATCTTTTACCAACTTTGTGCTGGTGCTCCGTCTGGCCTCAAAGGTTGTATGTATCCTATCATTATTTCATTCATGGAAGTTCAGTGAATCTAGAAATAGTTGTTGAAGTGATAGAATCTGAGATCCATTCTGGGTTTCCAATAACATGATGTAGAAACTTATATTTTTTTGTTAAGAAGCTAGAGACATTTCTGATGAGATATATGATGTGGTTCTCTATATCAGCTATATAATTACAGCCTAAGAAAATTTATGGTCTCTGACTTCGTGTCATATATTTCTTTACAGATAGACTGAATCTGAAATCGGCTGTTGAGTTCCATTATCTAAGTCAGAGTGGCTGCTTGGCAATTGATGATGTTGATGATGCTAGGAAATTTCAAATGCTTATGGTAATTAGACTTCACTGAACAGTGAAATTTTCTCTCTGTTCTTTCTGTGTCCTAATTATTTTTAATTTTATTTATTTTTTTCTACTTTGACAGGAAGCCTTAGATACTGTTCGACTTTGCAAAGAAGACCAAGACAATGCATTTGAAATGCTTGCTGCAGTGTTGTGGCTGGGAAACATATCATTTCAAGTAATTGACAATGAAAATCATGTAGAGGTGGTGGTTGATGAAGGTAAGGTCTATATCTTGGTTTCTAGTTATTTTTTATTTTTTATTTATAAATAAAATAAAATTCAATTCTGGTGGTTTTCCTTTCCTTAATGTTGTTTCTACGTAAACTTTGAATTTCTATTATTTTTTTTACTATCTTGGAAATTTGTATTTGGTCATGGGTGAGGCCATTGGTTGTATATCTGCACTGTAGGAGCTACATGCTAATTTATATGGGTAAAATACTATCTATTAAGCATTTCATACTGGATATAGATTGAAAATGTCACCAACAAGTTATCTATGAAGTAGAATGAATCAGGTGAATTTTGTCCTTACATGCCATCCAAGCTGAGGATATGCCCTCTAATTGGTCCTCATTTTACTTTAACAGATGGCAATAAATCCTGCATTCATCTCATTGGGGTGTGGATTCTGGAAAGTTTATTTCTGAGTTTTGTGGGTGGCAATTTCAAATGGATAGATGTGCAAGAGTGCATAACTGACTCCAAATTTTTTTTAAAAAAATGTAGAGGAAGCAAGTGGATTGTGTGTGGGTGGTAAAATGTCTACTTTTCAGTGTAATCATTTGTTGTGATATTTGAATTAAATGTTTTGTATGACTCATGCAACTGTCTTTTTCATTGCCATCTGGGGTTTAATTTTACCCAATTGATTTGCTATTTCGTTTTATGTAGAACCAGGTAAAATCTTATGGTTTGTTTTTTCATGTGTGTGTACCAAGTCAGCAATGCACAGATTCATCATTCAAAATTTAAAACAAATAAAGGAAAACATACGAGCTATGAAGCATGGACACTCCAAAATTAGTGCCGTGGCGGTGTCCGACACGGGGACACGCCGGGGACACGGGGACACGCCGGGGACACGTATGGGACACGCCAGATGGCGTGTCCCTTTAATTTAATGATTTTTTTGCAGGGGACACGGCAGGGACACGGCGGGGACACGCGTGTCCATATGGGGACACGGCATGGGACACAGCGGGGACACGGCAGGGCTATTTTTATTTTTATTTTTTTTAATTTAATTTTTTTATATTTTTTTAATCTTTTGCCTCTCTTATTTAGTACTTTTGTGAAAAATATTGTTGGATGTTGAATGTTTTCCCCTTCTCGTCTTAGTTCTTGTTATCGTTTATTATGACTTTTTTGTGCATTTTTTGTGAATGGATGATCTATTAATTTGTTTAAATGTAATGGTTATGTTTATTCAATTAATGTTACTATGTTAGTGTTTGTTAATTTTAATTTAGGATGAATGTAATATGAATCTACATAACACATAAAAATATATAAAATAAATAAAATAAAATTCGCCGTGTGATGATTATGCCTAATTTTGTGAGTTTGTTCTTCTTTTGAATTTGGGAAAATTACTACATGAATCGATTTGGATTTGAAATTTTATTTCTTTATTTCTCAAGTATTTGGGACACTAAACAAGCTTAGTTATAGATTAATTGAGAGAGAGAGAGAGCATGGCTTCAAACTTGGTCTTTTGTTTTAATTAATGTTTTTAGAGTCTGCTTTTAGGTTTCCATATATTCTTGGATTTTTTGCATTTATGATTGTCATTATGTTGCTATGCCTCCATGGTTATTTGCATTATTTTGAAATGTATTTACTTCGCTGAATTGTTATGCTCATGGGTCATGGCATTGGTATAGTTATTTTGAATTGCTTTGTATAATCTCTTTCATGGTTAGTCAATTATTGTTATTATTATTATTTGTAGTTCATTTGCATCTGTTCAGGTTTTCCTTAATTTCTTTTCCCCTGTCTTTCATTTGCATCTGTGATTAATGACCTTAATAAATAAAGGTTCCAATTTAATTGCATCTGTTATCAACAGTGTTTGGATGAGGACAACTGAATGTCTTAGTATATTAATGTTGCAACTTGTTTATTTTGTTTTTAGGAGTATGAATTAGATGGAATTGATTGGACAAAAGTAGATTTTGAAGACAACCAAGAGTGTTTGGATCTCTTTGAGAAGGTAGTTCTGTTTTTAACACAAACACACACACGCACACACACTCACATGTTCATTGACGAGTTTCTCAGAGTTCCTTGTGCTGATCTATGTGAGCATTGGACTATATTTCATATACATATGATGCCATACCACATAGGTCTTCCTAGGTCTCAGACTATTTTTGTTAGCCTTTCATGCATAATTCAAACCATGTTCTTATTGTAATATTGTTTCTTATAAACTGAAGTTGTAAAGAAAATAAAAGATTGAATATTTTGCTTCCTAAGCATAATTATACGCCAAGTTCTCATCTTTTTTATCATACCATGTTATATGAAACCTAATTATAGGTTTTCATATTTAAATTCACTCCTTCATGTGTGGTAGATTGTGTGTTAATGGCTTCACTGCTATGCATTTTGCAGAAACCTATAGGGCTAATATCTTTGTTGGATGAAGATTCAAATTTCCCCAAGGCCAATGATTTGACCTTTGCTAATAAGCTTAAGCAACACTTGAGTGGTAATCCTTGCTTTAAAGGAGAAAGAGGTGGAGCTTTTGGTATTTGCCATTATGCTGGAGAGGTATGTTGTTGGATGGTGTAGCTGGCATTAACTAGAAATTTACAGCTCAAATTGGTGAATCTTTTGACTACACTACGATGTGTACTGTTTCCAAAATAATAAAGACAAAATAACAACTATAGGACAATTTAAGATGTTATGTTAAGACAACTTGCATTAATAGCATCCATTTATGTCTGCATGTGTCAACAGAGATGGAAAGAAATTTTAACACTAGTCTCAAATTTGAAGTGCATAGATCCTTTTCTCTGGCACTATTCTCATTCCCTGTCAAGTTCTAATAACTCGTGATTTAACTTGTAATGGAAGTGAAAATCTATGGATCAGTAAAAATGTAAGTAACTGCAAACTTGAGAAGAATTAAATTTTGGATTTGACCTCAGGATCTCTCATTTTTTATCTTCTTTTTGCCTTTGCGGATCTCGTTCTAGCAAAAAAAATTTTTTGTTGATATTACTTGGAAATTTTGATTCACTCGTTCCAAGAGCTTTCCAATCATACGTATGGTCATGTTTTCAAATATTGGGTAATTTGAAAGGGTGAACAACTTTGTCTTCAGTTTCAAATATTGGAATCTTAAAATGACCAAGTTGGCGTTGTATATTGGAAACACACAAATTGATGAAGTTTTGTTGACTTAATTTTTTTCAATTAGAATGTAAAACTAAAACAAAAAATTACCAATGGATGGGAAAAGCACTTAAGGCAACTATAAAGGTGATACTCAGAATTAGACCACCTGCTGTGGTGTCCATAATATGAATTGGATAACAAAAGTGCTTTTCTGCTTCCAAAATTTATCTTTTCTAATTTTGTAAAGAAAGAATTTTGAATCATCTTGCCTTTTTAAGAAGTAATTTTGAGCTTCAAACCAAACATTAGTGTCTCTTTTTGGCTTCTTGCTTTTAGGAATAAAATAAGTGTTTTTAATGTATCCAAACAATTTTTTATTAATTTAATGCTTTTAGGTGCTTATTTATTCTTATTTGTCATTCGCTTGAGACTGAGTGCCCCCCTTATTCGTACATCAACCAAGGGCAAGGTTTGATTCCCACTATTCCTCATCCTACTAAGTGTCTGTGCCATTAGACCGGCTAAACTTGTTCTGATCTAGTGTGTGTCTGCTCCTGTTTGGGCTCACTCGGCAGAAGGCTAACCCTCTTCTCCTGCTTTAGTTTGAGCCCCACCCAGACAAACTACAGATGCATTTTACAAATTGTCAGTTCGTCTGAAATGTAAGAAAAAATTTTTTGAAGCAAGTTTGCTTGGAAAACATGCCTAGATATAACTTGATTGATTTCACTTTTTGTAGAGTTTCCTTATCTTGGTAGAGTTGGTAGAATTCCTTTTCTTTCTTTGAATTTACTTCATGCTTGTCTGCGTCTACATGGATAATGCAAGATTTTGGACCTTTACAGTTATCAATAATTTTGCTTGCAAACTTTTAAAATTTAATTTTTTTAAAAATATTATTTAGGTTCTGTATGACACAAGTGGCTTCTTGGAAAAGAACAGAGATCCACTGCACTCTGATACCATCCAACTCCTTTCATCATGCAGTTGCCGGCTCCCTCAGTTGTTTGCCTCCAATATGCTTAACCAATTTCATATGCCTGCTAGTCCTTTACACCAGATGGGTGTGCTTGATCCTCATAAACAAAGTGTTGGCACAAAGTTTAAGGTAGACATGCTACTGAAATTTCTTTTTATATTGGAAATATTTTTAGTTGTAATATATTTCCTTAAACCTATGAATCCATGATGATGGATGTCATACAAAATTTTTAATCAACTCTTTTCCGAAAACTATATTTGGCATCTTTTTCTATTATCTTTTTTGTTGTTGGTCTTCGTTTTTCTTCTTTTCAGATATAAGTTTAATGACAAGTTTGAAAACACTTTTGTATTTGTGTCATTTTCATTTTTTGAAGCAAATCTCTTGAAAATGGGTTGTTTTGTCTAAATTTTATTTTGGAAACAGTTTCACCAAATGTGTTTGCTGTATTATTTTTTTATTAGCTAAGTACTTTCTGTTTCTGTGATGACATGAATATCTCTGAATAAACGGATATAAAGATATAATGTGTTTTGGTGCAATGGGGTATGCTCGTTGCATCAATTTTATTGTGGAAAATTATATATTGACTTTTTGGTATGCTTGTAGGGTCAATTATTCAAATTAATGCTGCAGTTGGAGACCTCCACACCGCACTTCATTCGTTGCATAAAACCGAACAATAAGCAGCTTCCTGGCATCTATGAAAAGGATCTTGTCTTAGAGCAACTCAGGTGTTGTGGAGTTCTGGAGATTGTCCGGATCTCGAGATCTGGCTATCCTACTCGAGTGACACATCAAGAATTTGCAAGAAGGTGGGGTGTGACTGTTGTAGTTATTTAATGATTATTCTTGCAAATGTTGAGGAAATTTTCAAATGTGTGCATGAACTTTAGGTATGGTTTCCTACTTGAGGAGGACAATGCATGTAAGGATCCATTAAGCATATCGGTTGCCGTTCTGCAGCAATTTGATGTCCTCCCTCATATGTATCAAGTTGGTTATACGAAATTATATTTTAGAACGGGGCAGGTGAGTTCATATATCTTCCATAGGTCCTTGATGTTGTTTTTGTTTGTCCTTTTTAGGTCAGTGGGATGATTGTTTCACTGTATAATTGCTGCATCATTATCTATGCTTTGCTGCTTAATAATCCAGAACTGTGGTTTTCTACTTAAAAAGAGTGAAGGTATTCAGGGGATAAAGGATCTTTCTGCAGTTTAGAAATGTCTTCTGTGCACCCAAAAAAAAAGGTGTAATTTGCCACAAAATTGGTATATTTTCATTACGTGCTGGCAGCATCATAATCTATGCTTTGCTGCTTAATAATCCAGAACTGTGGTTGTCAACTTAAAAAGAGTGAAGGTATTCAGGGGATAAAGGATCTTTCTGCAGTTTAGAAATGTCTTCTGTGCACCCAAAAAAAAGGTGTAATTTGCCACAAAATTGGTATATTTTCATTACGTGCTGGCAGCATCATAATTAGCAGGAAAATAACTAGGATCTTTTCTGCTTATTTGAGAGGCCCTGCATGTTTTGGGTTATCTTCATAAACTTGAACAAAAATGGTCAAATCAAAGAAAAGAAAAAAAGAAAAAAATGAAATAGAAATCATTCTTGACGTTTGACTAAGAAATTCACCTAATCAAATGTTTTATCTGGAGGAGTATTCAGTTACATGAACTCAGAACTTGAAAGAAAATTCTATGTTAACCTGCTGAGCTTTTGCAGCTGTAAAATGTAGTTATTTCTAATTCAAGCAATATTTTCCCTGAAAATCGTTTTCTCTGATGTTGTATGATGCTGTTTCATAGATTGCTGCATTAGAGGATACGAGAAAACAAGTTCTGCAAGGCACACTTGAGGTGCAGAAACGATTTCGTGGTCATCGGGCTCGTCGTGACTTCCACGAACTCAAGAAAGGAGTAACAACACTGCAATCATGTAAGATATGTATAGTTTATTTATTTATATTTTTTAACGATTTTGTTTTTTCCACGCAGAAGAGGTATTTTACTGGTTTTGTAGTCTCATTGTTTTCATGATGTCTGTTAGCTCATTAAACTTTTAGGACAATCTGTGGCTTAATGTGGTATCAGAACTCTGGTTCAAGGAGGACCTAGGTTTAAGTCTTGTTACTCTTGTAATGTGTTTGTTCTCCCATTATGTTTGTTAATTGTGCACTATATTATGTGGGTGTTTGGGAAGTGGCTAGTTTAGAGACTTTTTGGCTTTTTGACTATTTTAGTAGGCTATTTTAGTTTTTGTGTTTGGGAAGATGAGATGGATTTTTATTTGAGTTGTTGTATTGAAAAATGTGTTGAAATGATGTTTGAAGTTAAAATAACAAATTTATCCCTAACCTCACATTTTTCAAAATTAATGTAAAGGGGCAAAATCATCATTTACCAATAATGGAACAACTTGTCAATGTGACTGTGGTAGGCTGTACCTATACTGTCACTGTGACAGGCCACTGCCGAGCTATATATATATATATATATTTTAATATGAAGTATTTGTTTAGGAGCTTTTTGGCTTTTTTTTTTATTTGCGGCTATTTTAGCCTTTATCTCAGCTTATTTTTATTTGAGTTGTTGTATTGAAAAATGTGTTGAAATGATGTTTGAAGTTAAAATAACAAATTTATCCCTAACCTCACATTTTTCAAAATTAATGTAAAGGGGCAAAATCATCATTTACCAAAAATGGAACAACTTGTCAGTGTGACAGTGGTAGGCTGTGCCTATACTGTCACTGTGACAGGCCACTGCCAAGCTATATATATATATATATATTTTTTAATATGAAGTATTTGTTTAGGAGCTTTTTGGCTTTTTTTTTTATTTGAGGCTATTTTAGCCTCAAACTCAGCTTCCCAAACACCCCCTATGTGTGTGTTTGTAGAGTATTTGCCCCTCCATGTGTGAGACAAGGTTGCACACTAGGGGAAGTATTAGATTGCTTAATATAATTGTTGGGCTCATTTCCCAACAACTTAAGCTTTTGGACAATTGGTAACCTAAAAGTTTACATGAACCTGTGTTCCATTTTAGGTTGATAGAACAGGTAGCGATAGAACAGATAGCAGCTCTTTGAAACCTTACTAAACTTTTGTCTTGAAACATGTTTAGGCTTTGAAGTTCCAAATACAAGTCCTAGATTGAAGTCTACACTTTCAATGATATCTTAATTAGATTGGATTCAGAGAAACCTGTTTACTATCACAGGGGTTTCAATTATGTAATAAAAGGTAATTTAATCTTGCAGTTATCCGTGGTGAGAAAGCTAGGAGGGAGTATTATTTATTGATAAAGTTGAGAATGCTGGCTGCTCGCAAGACACTAGAAGAGCATCTGAGGGCAATCATCTGTTTACAATCTGGTAATTTATAATATTCATTGGACATGTCACTGGCTATTTCATTGTTAAAAATTTTCCTATTCTTGTGGTCTCTTTCTGCAGTAATTCGTGGTTGGTTGGCAAGAAGGCATTCTAATTACCTGCAGAAATTGAAAAAGTCTATTCCTGATAATACAAAACAAAAGCATGGGAGGAAAATTTCAGAAGTCAAGGTACTCTTATACTGTGAAAGTTCACCTCCCCCCCCCTTTCTGTTACTGATGGCTGTTAATTCTGGACAACCGGTGTTAGTACTTCTCCTATGCATAACAAGTTGGACCGTAGCACCTGTTCTAGTCTCCATTTCCTAGCACTGTTACTTTCTATATTTGGTGTAGTTAACAAAATTTTTTTACTTTAAGAGAGCTTGAAATATCAGACTATGGGGACTTTTGAGTTTTGCCAACTCATCTTCATATGAGGCTCCTCCCCTCGCTTTCTCTCTCCATGGTGTGTGTGTGTGCAGGTCTGTGTATTTTTGATGGGGCTGTGGTTCATTGCCATATTAATGCTATGGAGATCATATGATTAGGAGTTTGTCCTTATGTGCAGCATGCCTTCTTTTGGTTAGCTCGTCCTATATATCCCTTTATGACTTTTGTGAAAGTGGCACTAAAATGCATTTGTTGTCATAAAATTTCCCAAAATTACCGGTGTTGTTTACTGTCTACAATAAGTAAATAAATGAGCATTCTGTCTCTAGATTGCCAGCCACATCTTAGCTTAAGCTTATATTATCATTATTAAAACTATGAACTTGCACGTATAAATATTGTTTTGTTAATGTAATACTTGTTAACTGCACAGCCGAGCCTAATGAGTAGTCTTACAAGTTGAAAGTAAGTTGTAAGGAACACTATCAGTACTCTGGAAATGTTAGATACATGCACATGGATGCCTTCTTCTGAGTATAGAAAGTCTGAGAACATAGTCATGATGGAAAATCAAGTAATGTTTCCTTTTTAAATTTTTTGGACATTGAGCAGGAGGTATCGCAAGCACCTGTTCCGCCTTCAGTTTTACAAGAGCTTCAGAGGCGTGTTGCAAAGGCAGAAGCCACTCTAGGGCAAAAGGAACAGGAAAATGCAGCATTGAGGGAGCAACTAGAGCAAGACAAGGCAAGATGGTCAGAATATGAGACAAAGATGAAATCCATGGAGGCAATGTGGCAGAAGGAGATGATGTCTTTGCAAGTAAGTTTGCATGTTTATGACTGCATGTGGATAGAACTTTATACATCTATTATTATGGTCAGCCAAATAAATACAAAAAAAATTTGCTGGGACAAAGTAATAATTGGGAAAAAGTGCAAATTGGATTGCTTTGGCTCATTCAGTTCAATTAGTCAATGTATCTGTTGCACATAAACTATCATTGGTGGATCTTGATCATTATCTGAGGCTGACATTGCATCTGTCGACTGTGTCATGGGACAACTGAAACACCTTCCTTTATTTAAATTTGTAAGTATGCAAAGAAAGCTCTGAGAACTATACTAGGATTTATTAGATTTATATATATATATATATATATAAAGAAAAACAAGAAAAAAAGAAGCTATACTAGAACCAAGATCTTACGAAGAAAGAGGGACTAGGACTTACTATTAATCAGTGAGTGATATTGAGGTTTTTCTGTAACATTGACCTGGTTTTAGCTGATCTCTAGCTACTGGATAGGCTCTAAATTCTCTTTAGTGTTAGCATGATGCGCCTCTAATTCCTTACTGGACTATTATTGGATGTAAATTTAAAGGTTATTAGACTTTTCCATTTGTAGAAACAAATAAATTTCTTGGGTTATGACCACTTCTTGATGGCAGATTGAATTCTGATTAAGTTTTGAGAAGGGAAAAGAATTCTAAAGTTCATAAAATTCCATTAACTGGAGACGGCATAAATACAGAGTTGTTTTTTCTATTCTATTTTGTACAAGTTGCTGATCTAATCTGGGGGCATCAAAAAGAAAAAAAAAAAGCTTTTGTATTAACTCCCTCAGAGCAGTTGTAGCCAAATATTTGGGAATTCTGTGCCGCACAACTGAATTTCTGATGTGCCTAAATATAAATTGTTGTAATATTTACTTCAGGTGAATCTGGATGCGGTCAAGAGGAGTCTTGCTACTGACAACACTGCAATTCAACCTGGGAGGGTAGATGGTTTCGCTTCGCCCCACTATTATGATTCCGAGGAAACCATGTCCATGGGAGCACAAACTACCGGTGGAAACACGCCCATCAAGGTTTCACATACTGGTAGAGATGTCGGTGCAGGACGAGAGATTAATGGTGGTTTGAATGCTGTCGGTCATCTAGTGAAGGAGTTTGAGCAACGGAAGCAGGATTTTGATGAAGAGGCCAAAGCCATTGCTGTGGTCAAATCAGGGCATCCTATTGACGAGCTTCGGAAGCTGAAACTTAGGTTTGAGACGTGGAAGAAAGAGTACAAGTCTCGATTACGAGAGACGAAAGCTAGACTTCTCAAACGTCATCCAGAAGTGGAAAAAAGTCTTCGGAACTGGTGGGGAAAGAAAACCAAAAGAGGGATGTAGTGCTTTTAGTATTAGATTACATATATCATCTATGTTGGGGGTGTGGATAAAAGGCACAACGAGAGTAACATTCTGGAAAAAGGAATGTTTGTCAAAACCCTAATTGTAGTTTTTTTCAGGAACGTTCTCGTTCCTGAGGTCAACCCTCGTGTTGTTTGTGTTACCGTAGCTTGAGGATAGTGGAGGGAGGGAGGGAGGGAGGGAGGGAGAGCGTTTTTATTTTCTGCCAATTTTTGTTACTTGGTGGAAGCTTGGGGTAGTTTTTAGAGTCTATTTGTGAATATGCTGTTGTTATTGATGTAGTAGTTGCAGTGTCTGTAGCTTTTAGTTGTTAGTTTGAGAATATGGAAGAGAAATGTTTGTATGGTGGCCTTTCATTTTTCTTCTGTGGAAAATGTGTCGTGTTATTTATAGGATGTCTTTTAAAAAATAGAAATACTGAAATTTCTTTCATTCTCCAGCAACACTAACATTTAATTTTTCACATTTTACCATATAGTGCTTAAAAGGTTATGTGAAATGAAACCTGAAGCAATGCTATTGAGGAAATTGCCAACGAAATTGCTTTTGGAAATAGGTCGACAAAGTCCTGAAATATTCTGATTTCTTCAATTAACTTCATCAAGAAATTGATCTTTGGCTCGGGAGATCATTTCGGAACTACAAGTTTAATTTCTCTTTGCTGTGCAAGTGTTTATGGTAGTGTGGTTGCAGTAGGAAGATTCTAGTTTGTCTTGTTCAATTCCTAAAATATTTTTTAGCTTATTAAAAGTGGACTACTTTTTTCTGTCAGAATTAGTTTATTTTCTGTGACGGAAAATATTTTTAGTTAATTTACTCAAATGTAATAAAATGCAACAAGTATTTTGGAAAAATATTTTTCATCGAAATAAATGGATTATAAATTTTCAAATTACATAATTGCACAAGGTAAGCCGTCTGAACCTTTTAATCCAACAAAGTGGTAACTATAAAATGTACAAAAAATAAAAAATAAAAAATAAAAAAAACCATTATCATACATTAACACGAGTTCGGATTCTCGGCCGTCCTTCTCGGCGGCTGTCCCAGCAGCCCCTCAAAACGACGTTGTTTTGGGGGGTTTTTTTGATTTTTTTTTTTTTTCTTTCTTCTTCCTCGTTCGAACAGAACCAGAGGGGAGGGGAGGGGAAGAAGAGAGAGAGGAAGGGAGAAGAAGAGGGAGCCGCCAGTGGGCCGGACTGGAGGGGGTCATAATCACCGGGGGAGGAGGAGGAGGAGGAGGCGGAGGCGGAGGCGACGGCGGCCGCCGGTGGGCCGGATTGGAGGGGGCCATAATCACCGGGGGAGGAGGAGGCGGAGGCGGGCCGGAGGCGAAGGCGACGGCGGTGGGCGACGATCGGACGGCTGGCGAGCTCGACAACCTGCGACGGCGAGTCTTCGGCGAATCCGGACCCCCTCCCCTCCCCTTCCTCTCTCTCTTCTTCCCCTCCCCTTCCCTAAGAGGGAAGAAGAAAGGAAAAAAAAAAAAAAAACGAAAAAACCCCCAAAAAGACGTCGTTTTGGGGGGCTGCTGGGAACGGCCGCCGAGAAGGGCAGCTGAGGATCCGGATTCTATTAACACAACACAAGATCAATGATTATCATGAATTTATGATCAGGGTACAAACTTGGTGGCATAGACCCAAGCATTGTTAGCCACAGGATTGTCAAGGTGGTCCAACAGGTTCTCAAGTGGGCCTTTACCAGTGACAATAGCTTGGACAAAGAACCCAAACATTGAGAACATGGCTAGCCTGCCATTCTTGATTTCCTTCACCTTGAGCTCGGCAAAGGTGACCGGGTCATCGGCAAGGCCCAGTGGGTCAAAGTACTGTCCACCGGGGTACAGGTTGTTTCCCTCTCCGACTCCAGGAAGGCCGTTAATGCGGAAGCCCTCAACAAGGCCCATAAGAACCACTTGGAAACCCAAAACTGCCAGGATGCTTTGGGCATGGACAAGATTTGGGTTGCCCAAGTAGTCTAGGCCACCTTCGGAGAAGATTTGGGCTCCAGCTTTGAACCAAACAGGCTCTTTGAAGTCCACTTTGACCCATTTTTCAAGGACTTATGGGGTGATGCAACCTAGGGCTCCCAACATGGCCCATCTTCCGTGGATGACCTGAAAGTTCAGTAACAATTATGTTATGGTCTGTTTGGCTCTTAGGAAACAGAAAAGAGAAGGGATTTCGTTTATAAAAAAAAAAAAAAAAAAAAAAAATCTTATATTTCATTTATTTTTTCCCTCCTATTGAAAAAAAGTTACACGTTTAAATTATTGAGATATAGGAGAGGGGATGTTTTTAACTTCCTAGTTTAGATTATTAGCTTAAAGTTGCACCAAATGGGATTATAGTAGTTATTTGTTTATATTTTTGGTAAATAAGATAGAGAAATGCCAATGCACTTTCCATTGCCTAGTTGATTCATTTCATAACCAAACTTTCAGGTTCAATGAAGAAATTAACAACTAGATCAGCAGGTTTACCTCAAGAGCCCTGTTCCTGGCAAAAGCTTCAGGATCAGCAGACAAACCAGCAGTGTCCCATCCATAATTGCCGGGAAATTCTCCCGTCAGATATGACGGAGTCTGAGCTGAAAAGGGTCCCAAGTACTTCACCCGGTCCGGCCCGTACCATAATTCATTCCCCTGTTCACACCACAACCATTAACCCACAACTTTTCTCAACTCACCAACACAAGAAAATATGAGAGAGAGAGAGAGAGAGAGAGAGAAAGAGAGATGTACCATGGTGAATTTGCCAATGCCCATAGAGACAACATCTCTGAGAGGGTTGGCATTTGCTCCCCTGGTTTGACCCAGAAATGGAGTGGGTCTGAGGACAGTGCTAGTGCTGGTTGCAGTTGACATTGTTGCCATGGTTTTTCAAACCTCAGAATTGAGTTTAAAACTGTTTTCTTTTCTTGTATTACCATCCACATTATATATATATATATGTGTGTGTGTGTGTGCAGGAAATGAGAATCAAAGATGGGTGGTTAAGATTGGATGAATGGAAGTTGTGGTGGTGACAAACTCAGTCTTACCACTTTCTCATCAACCAATCACAAGGTTTCAAAAGATTTTTACGTATCTCCATTTCATATCCTTCTATCCACAATTCATCTCTGTTGTCACACTTCTATACAGTTACAGTGGGTAAGGCAGGACTCTCTCTGATGGACAGGAATTGTGACTGTATTAGGATATACAGCTGGAGATGTATCTTTCTTGTGGTCCATCCTTGAATTCAAATGTATTGTTTGGTTCTTGTTGTTCAGTGAGCTCAGACCAAATAAAATAATCTAACAAATAAAAGCACTGTGATTCTTTCTAGTAATGCCAATTTGTGTATTTATTTTTTCTTTAGGATAATGTTTTATCTTTTAGTCTTAAATCTCGTAAATATACAAAAAAAATTATTTTATAAAAAAAAATCCCCCCCCCCCCAAAAAAAAAAAAAAAAAAAAACAATAGTACATTTCAACAGTTTTTATAGAATAGGATTCCTCAACAGAGATATCAACACTAAAGAAACCAAAACCATAGCCGGTCTAACAAAGTTTCACCAATTTCATCCCTTCCACAAGGTCTGTGAAATGACTGCTTTTTTCAATCTTAAGGTGATAAAAATTGCGCTCCAAAAACTTTTCATCTTCTATTTCTCAAGCATTCCTACAAGTTAAGATCTCCAGTTGATCTCTGTCGCTGCTGGTACTAACACAAAAATATGATCAACTGGCTGACTGCTAAAGAAGCTAGTGGTAAATTAATCATTGGCTCCAGCTAACTTATTGAGGATGCAAGACCAGAGACTCAGGACAGTTAACGTTTGAGCAATCTGTGTAGTGACTCTAAATTTGACAATTTCTCGTTGTTTGTTTGTTCTTAGAACCCAGCACTAACATGTTCAATGAGTGTTCCCTGCAGAAGTGCTGCATAGCCTGTGATTTTGAAGGCCAAAATAGGTTACTTATTTCATAGCTAAAATCTATAAATTCTTAGTAAATTTATCAACACCCAACTAGCCAACTAATAGCTGGAACTGAGTTTATGTTTCGTGAGCACCACTAGAGTGCAGCATGACCCAAGATCACACTCCAGATAATCCAATCGCTCGTGAGTTCTTTCCTCAAATGAATACTACTTCTCAGCTTCAGATATGTTTTCAGCTCTCGATTTCAATATCATAATATCACATCAAAAAAGTCTCCAACATCAAAGGCAAGATAAGTATGACATTAACAAGAAAGGACCAAAGGTCAAATGAAACAGAGAGGGCAACTATAAACTGCATTGTCTTGACCAATTGAAGAGATCATTCGATTCATTTGACATTATTGTCTAAATGATTGATATTTTTTTTGATCAGTCAAGGGGAATTCATTAAATTCAAACTGCCTCAATGTCACGGTACATTTTTGTTCTTTTTATTTATTTATTTATTTATATTTTCCGTATGAATATACATCAGTTAAGACCATTTCAATGTTCTTTTTTTGCTATGCAGAAGCTGAGCTTTTGTGCTCATTCTGTGGCCTGTACAAGAGTGGCAAAGTCCAACCTGCATGCAAAAACACTTTTTTGGGCTTGCGATTCTTTAATAAAGTTTCAAATGTAAATCAGGCATCTTAAATCACACACAACATCCCCATTTTTTTGGTTTGGTTTAGACTGCATCGTCATGCTGTCTTTATCCAACGCAAATTTTTGTGGTGAATTTCATAGGCATTGTTCCACATCTTCTGTGGACCATAGTTTTCATATATATATAACTGAACAAATGACAATTATCATATGCACCCTTTTCTTGAGAAAATTACTTTCTGTCCTGTAATTAAGTAAACTTATTGCAGAAAGGGCAATGGTATTGCAATCAACGTAGCCCTCTGAAGTGAAAGGGAACAAAAAAGGCAAAGATGATGCTTTAGATTAGTAAGCGGGCTAGATAAATAGAATCTATATATTTACAAGAGGGAAAATACAGAAATTAAAGATATTGCAAATAGCAATCGTCAAGTTAAAAATATGATAAATTAATTTTCATTACAATTGAAGTATGCAACTGATAGAACACAAGTATACCGATCTCCTGACCATAACCTTGCTTGATACACCCCCAAAAAATCTAACAGAAATTCTCAAGTACAGCATTCAGTATAATAGTACCTTATCACATGGTCAATGAATGTTGCATTGTTGCAACATAGGATGAAAATAATCAACATATTTATTCCATAGCGGTTTGTATTTCTCTATCCCAATCTTCAACCATGGTTTTGAGTTTCCATTAAAATGCAGCACAGACCCCTTCTGAATTAGTTGTGGGTCAACAGTTGTGTACCTGTAGGAGAGGGTTCAAGAAAGGAGTTGGAAAATTCGAAGATCTTCGAAGATCCTTGAAGAACAATTTCGAATTCTCTAGAATATGATGAGAGGCTTAGATTGTTCGTGGATCCGAACCCTTTCGAGGCTTAAAGCCATTCAGCCCGTTTAACGGCGATAAATCCAAGCCCACCCATCTTGGACTTGCGATAAATTCGGGCCCACTAATCTTGGGCTATTGGGCCTAAATAATTTAGTGGGCTTAAATTAGCTCCTCTTACAGTACCCTAATCCCAAAACATGCCAGCTAGGATCCAAAGGCTCTGTCAACCCATAGAAAGTTAAAAGTCCAGGAGGCAATGTTCCCAGCTTCCACAATGTTCTGTCAATATTTTTTTCCTGCCAGTAGTGGTAGATTCCAGTTACATTCCTTTGCCTCCACTGAATCAAATCAAAGACATTCATTCCAAATGCCCAACCACAAGCATCTGGATCAAAATGTGTGCGTATTAGTGGGTGAGAGTAATTCAAGTACTTATGGAATCGGTGAAATGTCTCCATACAAGTCTCAACGGCTCCATTTACATTTCCATTCAATTCAAGAGAGAAAAGTGGTGAAAGATCCCTCTGAACCACAACATCATCATCGAGAAATACTACTTTCTCAAGTGCAGGGAAAACTTCAGGAATGTAGAACCTGAGGTGGTTAAGCATAGAGAGGTATTTAGGGTTGCGATACTTGATTGGGGTCTGGCTTTCGTCATTGTTTCCAGAGAAGTAGTAGTTTCGAGTGTCTGAGTCCTGGAGCTGCTTAAGGACGGGAACATAAGAAGCTTTGAGCCAGCTGAAGTCTTCGAACTTCTGAACTTCAATTGTCACTCCACGAAATCTATTCATGGAAAACCAGGCATCCATTGCGGCATAATTAACTTCATCAGTCACAATGTGGAAGACAATCAAATCAGGATTGTTGGAGTTTGAAGCAGTTGAGTTGACCACAACTGAAGTAGCAATGATGTTGTCAGAAAAGACACAGAAATGATAGAGGCTGTTGTCTTTAAGTTTGTCTGCAACCTGGCTTCCTCCTTCGAGTTCAGTTTTGGAAGTTGAGTTCCTAAACCATTCAATGGTCAACCTGACACCAAGGCAGTAGAAGCTTTTTGGGACTTCCTCAGCAGCTATTTGCCCATACTTTGAGCTCCTATCAGTTAGCGAGCTGGCTTGTTCTTCAAGCGA